GAACCTGATGAAGAAACCTTGGGTCTTTATTAGGTTTCGCTATGTATGGATTCGAATATTTTGGGGTTATGGGACCAGGAATTCTTAATAATCAGGTTCCTACAATACAGGGTCTTTATCAGGTTCTCTATATATGGATTCTAATATTTTGGGGGTTATGGGACCAGGGTTTCTTAATAATCAGGTTCCTACATTACAGGGTCTTTATTAGGTCTCTCCATATATGGATTCTAATATTTTGGGGTTATGGGACCAGGGTTTCTTAATAATCAGGTTCCTACATTACACACAGTCATATATACTACTATTGCGGAGTTGTGTCCCCAAAGCCATAGAAAGGTTGGTCTTTTGGGGCTTAATTCGATACGGATAGTATTTCTGGACCCTCTACGTTCGTTACACGAAATCATACAGACTTGCGTGCAGGCAAGAAGAGTTTCATGGGCATAGACAGACCGACGACCGACAGTTAACCCGTACCTGAAAAGGTAAGGGTATTTGGCTTGGCGGAGCTCGACACGTGGGAGAAAGAGGTGATGGCCGAGCAGCAAGAAGAGGACCTCTACTCCGACACCCCGTTGTGCGGAATCTGCAAGATTCCCATGGTGACGCGCACAAACAGGATGAACAAGGAGGATTTCTACGGATGTGTGAGGTTTCCTCTGTGCCGGGAGACGTTACCATTGACCTACGGGGGGCATCCAACCAGGGTGGTACAGCAAGCTCTGGTCGAAGAGGCAAAGAAGCACTCCTGGATGGGGACCAAGGGCACCGGACGGGGGTACCCCAAGTTGACGGGGGAGAAGGCAGACCGTCGGCGCCCATCAACACCGTCCAACTAGCTGCGGGGCGTTCGTCTGGTGGGCTCTTAGGACTCTAACTTTTTGATTCTCTATATGGGCTATAGTAAGTAGGCTAAAAGTTAATAAGGTTTAGGAGGGGTTCAGAAGTCAGCCTAAATGCGGTCAAGGTAAGCCCTAAGCCCCTGTGTCCGCAGGTCTTGATGTTTTTTGTTCCAGTTGAGCCCATGCTACTTGGTGCTTCTGTTTCCGTGCCCCAACGACCCCTAAATTAGGCCCTAAATCCTCCAAGATGTTTCGGGTTTAGGGTTTAGATTCAGAGACCCTAAGACCCAGAAGCTCTAAGCCGAAAGCAAGTGAGACCAGAACCCCTTAAAACCTTACACATTGAAGCCCCATGTTGAAAGCGCTTGGCGCAGGTGTCGATTCTCTGTGGCCAGGAGTATTTGTTCCCGATCATTACGGAGCTTCCTTTGTTGGTGTTCTTCATGCCGCTCGGAACGCCAACTATTCGGTTTATCCATGCCCTCGTGCTATGTAGCTCCCCTTCCTCATCGCAAGCCAAAACCCGACGCCCCTAAACCCCAAGTGCTGCTTTTTGTTTCGTGAGTTCCCTCCTTCCATCTTCTCCCTGACGCTCATTTCCATTTCATACTGGCCAACAGACTGAGCTAGGGCTCAGGGTTTAAACGGTTTAGGATTCAAAGCTTAGTGTGACTGGGGTTCTGGGGGGCCAGGGTTCTTTTGTTCAAAAAGGTTTTGCCAAGGTGTGGTTTACCCCAGAGGCTGTTAATTGATAGGGAGAGAAAAGGGAGAAGACACAAAGCAAGAGAGAACAACAGCGAAAGAAATATAATGAAAGAAAGAAGCAGAAAGAATAAAATAGAGAAAGAAAGAAGCACACAGTACGAACCATAATTCCCTTCTAGCTCGGCGCCCTAAACCTTAAACCCTAAACCACGAATTGTTGGTAACGCAGCCTTGCAAATTGATTGCAACTTCCCCAGAGTTTGACGCCTTATGAAGCCCGGAGCTTGGCGCAACGGGAACCCCATGTAACGGTTTAGGGTTTTAGGGCTTTAGGGTTTTAGGGTTTAGGGTTTAAGGTTTTAGGGTTTTAGGGTTTCAGGGTTTAGGGTTTAGGGTTAAGTCCATTCCTGCATAGTTTGAAGCCAAGAAAATTCCCCAGTAGCTTGAGGCTTGACGAGCCGTCGGCCAGACCTTTTAAGCAAGATTTCGGCCAAACCTTTAAAGAAAGAAACCTTTGTGTCGGGGTTTAGGGCTTATTGGGTTTAGTTTGATTCTAGGGTTGTTAAAGGGTTCTTAAAATGTGCCCCGAAGCCCTAAACCCTAAGCCCAACTCGCAGCTTCGTTTCATGTGCTTCCTCGGGCTCTGTCGGGCTTACCATCGCTTCACCAGGGTTTAGGGGTTTAGGGTTTAGGGGTTTAGGGTTTAGGGTTTAGGGTTTAGGGGTTTAGGGTTTAGGGTTTAGGGTTGATATTCCGTTGTAGGCAGGCTTTCGAAGGCTCTGTAGGACTGAATACATGCTTAGGGTTTAGGAAAGTTTAAGGGTTTTTTCAACAGGGTTTTAGCAGGATTCGTAATTCTTTTGCATACTGGCACCAAGCGGTTGCTGTATCCTGTCGTCTCTGGACTTGCTAGCTGTCGATGAGGTTTTCAGGGTTTAGGGCTTTAGGGTTTAGGGTTTAGGGTTGAACCTGCGGCTTATGTTCTGTCCTATCAAAGTTGTTGTCGGCGCTGCTAGGGGTCAGGTTCTTTCGAAGGGGGGCTTCAAAACGGTTGTATATGATTGAAATGATTGAACCCTAAACCCTAAACCCTATATCTGGGTCCTTGTTGGCTACAATTTTACACTCTTGTTGATAGTAAAACCCTAATAAGGATCAAGAATGACCAGTTTTACTATACCCCCCCACCCGGGAACCAGCTATGGTGTTTTCGTTAATGCTCCTTCGAACGACATCCGCCATTTCTGGGATCCTTAAGGGAGGGGGTTCTAAGAGGGGTATATCACCCAATAATCCCCAATTCTCCTTCGGGCTCCCTTAGGTTCCCTAAAGCTCCCTAAGGATCCCTAGGACCCTCCCTGCTTGAACCACCCTCCCTTAAGGATCCGATAAGCTATCGAAGCCCGAGAAGCCAGGCAGCCGATACTTTAAACGCTCAACAAAAGACCCATCCAGCTGAATACCAGAAGGGGTTTCGGGTTTAGGGTCCCAAACCCCGATGCCCTAAAAGCCTAAACACTCAAATCATAAAGCCATAAACGCTTGTCCTGACCCTCAAAGCCCCGAGCACCAAAGCTTCAAGCCCGGTTTAGGGTTTAGGGCCACAGTCTAAGCAACCAAAAGCCGTCCTTAGTCCCCGAAACCATAGCTGCTCGGTTTAGAGTTTAGGGTTTAGGGCCTTTGACGATAAGGAGCTCTGGCAACGTAGGTTCTTTCAGGGTTCAGGCTTCACCCCACGCCTCCATCCGAAGGTTCTTCTTCTTTGGACAGCATTTCTGTGGACAGCTGTGGGCACCCAACTTCTGGTTGGATAAGCTGCACCTTGCCCTGCATGCCGTTAAATCAGAAAGGTTTGCTTGGCATTTAGTATGTGTTTCCATGTGGCTTTACGCTTCGATTGAGCTTTAGGACTCTCAAAAGGGCTGCAAGGGCTTTCGGGGTTCAGTGTTTTAGACCATTGACAACCACGGATGTAACTGGCCGGGAGTATATCGAGGCCTTCCCCTTCAGCCTGTATACTTGAAGAGTCGGGAGACTCAGTAAGTAGTTAGCAATAGAGTCATAATTTTTCACAACCCCAAGCAGGACGCGCTTTAGTGTACTTATAACAACTTTACTTAATGCCTACTTACAAAGTCCCTAGACTCTCCAAGATAGGTTCGACACCCTAAAGCGTAGCTTACGCATTCACCTTCAAAGGCGCAGCATCTCTCACTCGGACTACCGCACACGACACCTTGGTTTTTGTCTGTGTTTCTACAACTAATTTGTGGGGACCCTACAATAAGTAGTAGTTTTTGCGGGTTAAGGTACCCTAAACCCTAAACCCTCAAGCCTATAAACCCTATAAACCCTAAGCCCCAAACCCTAAACCCTATAAACCCTAAACCCTAAACCCTAAACCCCAAATGGCTTGAGCCCCGATTAACTTTCCGGACAAGCACTTCGTCTTCCACGGAATTCGGCAGTTCCGTGCCGCCTACAGGGCCACCGAGGTAGAACCCCCCAGACACTCCGAAACCCCTTAATTAGGGAATATACCTTAAATCATATTCGGGTTCCCCCTAAACCCTAAACCCTAAAACTTCCGGTTATAGTTTAAGGTATATTCCTTAATTAAGGGGTTTTGGAGTCTCTGAGCCGCAACGGAAGCCCGCGAGGCAGTCTGCAACCCTAAGGCTCCATGTAATGTAGGGGCCTTAGGGTTTAGGGTTTAGGGTTTAGGGCCTTAACAGTATAGGGGCCTTAATAATTTAGAATAGGGTTTCACAGGGTTCCTTTAAAAGGGGTTCCTTCAAGGGTTCCATAAGGGATACTATAAGGGTTTAGGGTTTAGGGGCCTTAACAATATGGACTGGGGGTTGATCCCACCAGTCTGAACTGGGCTTAGGATTTCGGCTTTAGCATTTAGAGGTCTAGAGCTGAATATAGGGGCCTTAACAATTCGAATATGGTTTTTTGGGGCCCCTTACTATTATGATTGGAGTATAATATACCCGAAGCTCCATTCTAATTGTTGAGGCCCATATATGGCCCCGTAAAGTATATGCTCTGCCCTTAAAGTAGCTACTATATACCTTAAGCTATCAAGACCCTACTTGTTTCTGTAGGTTCTTATAAAAAGAAACCCGAATACCCTGCAAAAAAAAGTAGGTTTTGACAGGTTGAGGTAGGTACTTTAGGGCCAAAGTATATACGACAGAGGTACATGGAGCACCTTAGGGCAAGTACTGTGGCAGCGTCGAGACCGAGAAGCTGGCCATCTTAAGCCTAAAATCCCACACCGCGGTTTAGGGTTTAGGGTTTTAGGGTTCAACCGCCAGCAACCAAGCCACTCTTGAAGCCCCCCAAGTCGGAGAAATCAAGATAGCCCCTCAATCGCAAACTGCGCAATTCACACCTTAGGCTCTAAACCCGAAACCGTAAACCCTAAACCGCCAGCCCCCTCAGGTGCATCCACCAGACGAAGGAGGAGTTGAAAGCGCAGCAGGCGGGAGCTTCGGAATGCGAGGCCTACGTCTACGTGTCTTTGCATCGTCCGGTTTATGAAAATTCCCAGCACCCTCCAAGAACCCTCAAATCGGGGTAGAGGGTCCCAAATTAAGGGTATCTAGAGTCTAATAGAGGGTAGATGGAGTGTCTAGGAAAATTCCACCCCTGTTTTGTTTCTTTGTGTTGGGTTCCCCACTTGGGCAAAAAGAGTTGGCTGGCGTTTCTAATTTTCGTTTCTGGCGAACTGGGGGCTGGCATTGAGGGTACTGGGTCTTTGTCGCGCTTGTGGCTTTGTTCATACAGTCCCCCAAAACTACGCGCTGTTGCGTTTAATAATGGGCTTGAGTTTTTTCACCGTGGGTTATTATTTGGTAGTTCAAGGTATAGGTTTACAGTAAGTAACATTTTCCATGGTTTGGGGTGGCATGAAATTTAAGTTTTGGTGTCTGGTTTGAGACATAGAATATAGAGTTCATTTAGGGTTAAAGGTTTAGGGTTTAGGGTTTTAGGGTTTAGGGTTTTCAGTCCATAAACCCAGACCCCAACACCAAACTCCAATGCCAAGCAGCTCACTGAACCAAGAAGAAAGCATACAGACGCACAGACAGACAGACACACACACACACATGAACCAACCCACACCCTAAAACCCCTAAGCTCTAAAATCCGAAACCTTAAAGCCCTAAACCCTAAATTTCCAAGACCCGCAAAAACCACAGACACTAAAAAAGAACCCTAAACCCTAAACCCAACACCCAAAAAAAAGGACAGCCCAGCAGCCGGCAGGTGGCAGCGCTGCCCGTCTTCGTGGCCCGGTCCTCGCGGATGCTGGTGCTTTGGGACGACACCTACTTCGAGAGGTGCGGAACCCTAAACCCATTAAGCCCTAAACCCTAAACCTTAAACCATAAACCCTAAACCCTAAGCCCTAAATATAGGGTTTAGGGTTTAGACTTTAGGCTCATTTTTCGAGAGGCCGGCCCGAAGCTTAGAAAGCCTAGTAAACCAAACCCCTAAACTCTAAAGCCTAAAGCCCTAATCCCTAAACCTTGCACATATTATTGTTGTGATTATTATCATTACTGTTATTATTGTGATTATTAAGGCTATTATGATTATTATGATTATTAAGATTATTATGATTTGATTAGGATTATTGTTTTTATTACTAATTATATATGCACACAGACACATATCAGCCCTAAATCCTGAACCGGATACCCTAAACCGATAAAGCCTGGGGTTACTATAGCGGGTCGTTGTTCCTTTGATTCCTTTAAAAGGTTCAAACAGGGCTACTGTAAAGTATTTGTTGGAGGTTTAGGGTATACGGTTGATGAAAAAATCCTGCATTACTCATAATAAGGAATATACCATAATTCCCATAGTTTAGGGTCCTTAAGGTAATGCAGGTTTTATATCATCAACAGTAGGACCATGAAAGCCGACCTGTTTGAGGGCTTTTTTCACGAAATAAGAATAAGGATCTCAGAAAAGCTTGGTCCTTTAAGGCTAAGGTGGGGTTTAGGCCCAAACCTTGAACCCGAAGCCCTAAACCCTAATGCCTAAAGCCTAAACCCTAAGCCTCAAGCCCTACACAGATAAAGCCTCGGCGTTGTGGTTTGGGTTTAGGGGTTTATGGTTAGGGGTTTGGGGTTTAGGGTGTGTCGAAGTGCTACGGCGCGCCCCACCCATGCAGTGGTCGTGGGTCGCGCCGTCTTCGTACTGTGACTGTGGAACCCCGCCACAACCACCCAAAGCAGGACCTAAACGGGTTTTGCGGTCTGCTTCCTGCCCAAGCCATTTGTTCCACAAGGTACTGGACCCTAAACCCTAAACCCCTAAACCCCTAAACCCTAAACCCCTAAACCCTAAACCCTAACCCCCAAACCCCTAAACCCTAAAGGCCCTAAAGTAGGTAAAGATGAGCCTGTTAAAAACACCCTGAAGCCCCACACTCTGATTCGAGCTCTTGTCATTAACCCAAAGGCTCCATGTACCTTTATAGTAGCTACTTGGGCCTTAAAGGGGTCCCTATATAGGCACTTTGAGGCCTAAGTATCTACTATGAAGGTACATGGAGCCTTTGGGTAAGCCCTACAGCAGAACCGTTAGTCCGAACAACAAAGCCTAAATTAAGTCGTCGGGACAAGTCTTAAAAGCACGGTTGATGAAAAAATCCTGCATGACCCCTAAGAAGGAATAATACCATAATTCCCATAGTTTAGGATCCTTAAGGATAAGGAATATACCAGAATTCCCATAGTTTAGGATCCTCAAGGTGACGCAGGATTCGGGTCGGGATAATTCCTAAAAGTATCTCCTGAAAAAGTATCTCCTGATTAGATATTCCCTTTCTACTTATCCCAGAAGATGCATAAGAACCTTGTTCTGATGATTAAGACGCCCATAGCTATGCTACGTCGTACTTGGAGGTTCATGGGTACTTCTAAGTGGGGTTATAAGTATTATAAGTAGGGTAATTATAGTAATAACCCATACTAGGGGACTTATAACCCCGCCTATAACTACCCATAAACCTCCAAGTAAACCCGGAAGCCGAAACCCTAGAGTTACAGCCCTGCAAGTGGGAGGCTCTGGTGCAACATGGAGATGGCGACTTTTGCGAAGTATTCCGAGAGCCCGGAGAAAATGGAGTTCCTTCCCTTGTGGTTGGCGCCTTAGAGGGCTGAGGGTTTGGAGCTTAGGGTTTAGGGTTTTGGGTATAGGGGTTTAGGGTTTAGGGTTTAGGGTATAGGGTTTAGGGTTTAGGGCTTAGAGCTGCGAGCCTCGGGTTTAGGGTCTAGCTCTCATGTAGACGTTCTTCCTAGGCGGTTTCGATAGTTAAGGGGTACCCATAGGCTCCTAAGCAGTTCCTTTTTGGGATTCCCTTATAGGATTCTAAATATAAACCATAAAAAGGAACTACTTAGGAGCCTCTGGGTATGTTGAACAGAACACCGAGGCTGGCCCCTTGGCTGCTCTCCTCTATGCTGCTGGATCTACTGGGTGTGACACTCCTTCGACTAACGGAGACGTTTCTCACATCGGAAGAGCATGTCGAAGTGGCCATCAAGTATGGTGAGATGCTCTTTGGTGAGTCCTACGAGGTTAGTGTCTTCTGCCATAGCTTCCTCGAGGTGTTTCCCGACTTCGTGTGTTATCTTCCTGTCGCATTGCCTACGCTGCTTTCCTTCCGAAGCTTGGCTATGGATTCCCTGGGAAGTTAAACTCTCATGGGTTTTTGGCATGTGTGCAGTAAAGAACCCTTACGTAGCTGTTTTCGAGCTATCTTCGTGGTTCACCAGAAGCCGAAGCCATAAGCCCTAAAACCCTGAACCCTATAGCCTATATCCTAAACCCGCAACCCAGGGAACAAGATCCAAGCACATAAGCTGATGCTGGAGCAGATGGCAACGTTTGAGTTTCGAAACGCGAAGTGCTCTGTGGAAGCCGACCGACCACTCGTGGAAGAGCAGGTGCGGGGTTAGGGGTTTAGGGTTTAGGGTTTAGGGTGGTAGCCCGAACCACCCAACCCTGTAGGCTGCTTTTGAGGCCGGTTACAAAGGTACGTAGAACTTGGGGATCCGGGGATGATGAGCTTGTTTGACGAGCCCCGAATCGAAATCTCATATAGACGTCAGCGCATGCGGACACTATGCAGCGACTTCGCACAACCTCAAGGACGAAATGAACCCTAAAAGGGTTTAGGGTTCATGTACCATACAGGGATTCATAGTATAAGGATATGGGGCCCCTACTTTTAAGGGTCATTTCGTCCTTAAGGAAGCTGCCCAAGTGCTCAACCCCCCCGGATTAGTGTAATCTCCTTTCTTTGGTGGGCTTCGAATCAGGATCCGTAAACAATCTGAGGGGCTGAGTAGGTAACCTTTAATTTTATTGGGGCTTATATAATCCTACTATAATTTAAAAGGTTAACCTTGTTTGGGCTTGGGTGCTCAGCCCCTAAGAGGATCCGTAAACAATGCTACATCCCCCAAATCCTTTCCTTGCTCCCCCCAAAAAAAACCTAGAAGCGGCTTCTCATAATGAGTTCCTTACATAGCTCCTTAGAGAGGTAGACCTTGTACGGTCTAAGTAAACCCTGATTGCCTGTAAGTTCCTCCCTAAACCCTAAACCCTAAAACCCTAAACCCTAAACCCGAAGTCTTCCCAGATCGCGTTGCACTTCCAGCCGGATCAGGACACTGAAGTCATCTCGGTTTCCCCATAGTACCAATTTGCTTTAGGATCTCATTTAGGCGCTTGATTGTAGGTTTGGGTTATAGGGCTGTATATGTGCATTATTATTATTCAGGAGCTAAAGAGGAACCTGTGTTTTCGTTTTTCAATGTGTGAGCTGGGAAATATAAGGTCATTGTTGCTGGCAGCTCTGAGAACGCGGAGCAGCTGAGATCTTCAAGCTTAGGATTTCGGGGTTTAGGGTTTGGGGGTTTAGGGCTTAGGGGTTTAGGGGTTTAGGGTTTAGAGTTTAGGGCTTAGAGTTTAGGGCTTCGGGCTTCGGGTT